TATTCAGATTAAATAAAACTTATAAAAAGCAGTTTACTTGATTATTTCTATTTTAATACATTTATATTTTACTTTAATTTCAAAGCAGACGATTTATAGACATAGAAACTGGGGCACAGGAAGAAATGAGTTGCTCCCGTCCAGCAGGCAGAAGTACTTGTGTCTAGGCAGTGTCCCAGCAACACAAACCATCTGCCCAAGAAAAACAACTGGAACACTGGGAGTCTTTAGGGCTCATTAATCTTTGTTTATTTCTCAAGGACCTTCTGAGACAGCCTACATATCCTTTGCCCTGTTCAGGTACCAGTATGGCAAAACAACCCCATGTACCAGTACAAGTTGGGGACTGAGCTGTTGGGGAGCAGCACAGGGGAAAGGGACGTGGGGGTCCTGGTGGACAGCAGGATGGCCATGAGCCAGCAATGTGTCCTTGTGGCCAAGAAGGCCAATGGCATCCTGGGGTGTATTAGAAGGGGTGTGGTGAGTAGGTCGAGAGAGGTTCTCCTCCCCCTCTACTCTGCCCTGGCGAGGCCACATCTGGAATATTGTGTCCAGTTCCGGGCCCCTCAGTTCAAGAAGGACAAGGAACTGCTGGAGAGAGTCCAGCGCAGGGCCACAAAGATGATGAAGGGTGTGGAGCATCTCCCTTATGAGGAAAGGCTGAGGGAGCTGGGTCTCTTTAGCTTGGAGAAGAGGAGACTGAGGACCTCATTAATGTTTATAAATATGGAAAGGGTGACTGCCATGAGGACGGAGCCAGGCTCTTCTCACTGGCATCCAATGATAGGACAAGGGGAAATGGATATACGCTGGAACATAGGAGGTTCTGCTTAAACATGAGGAAGAACTTCTTCCCAGTAAGGGTACCAGAACACTGGAACAGGCTGTCCAGAGAGGTTGTGGAGTCTCCTTCTCTGGAGGTGTTCCAAACCCGCCTGGATGCATTCTTGTGTGATCTGATCTAGGTGGTCCTGCTCTGGCAGGGGGACTGGACTAGATGATCCTTTGAGGTCCCTTCCAACCCCTGACATTCTGTGATTCTGTGTGATTCTGTGAAAACAAGTAGGAACTCAGAGCAGACGGGTGACTAAAGCTCATCTAAACTTGTACAAGTCACCTTGTGTTTCCTTCATACTCAGTGGAGGAAAAAAGGTACTTCTGGGAGGATGATTTAGTTCACTCTCAAATAAACACCGAACGCAGGCAAGACGGAGGTGCTTGTTTCTTTTGCCTGATTCTAAGGGAAACACAGAGTGATGACCTCAGACTTGCACACGTAGCTCCCAAATATTCTAAGTTATGAGAGTGGTCCTTGCAAAAAGGAAAAAACAGTCTTTAAATTGCTACCGATTTCTAGCCCAAATCACATAGCTACTTTTTTTCCAACTTTATACTTTTGTATGTTATTTGGGTGAAAGTTTTCCAGCCAGGTGTTCAATTACCATGACAAACATATCTTTTCACTCAAACTTTACTAAACGCTGAGGACAAGCAAAACAGGTTTTTATCTTACAGAATGCACAGGGGTGCAGCATCTTAAATTTTGCACAATATTTAGACTAGAATAGAACGTGTCATTTTTATTGCTTTCCTCTTAAGTCCTGAGTTTGCTGATTACATAAAGGCATTATTACAAGGATGTATGTAAGCACTCATTAAAAAACAAACCAAACAACCAACCCTTCAACCCAAAAAAACAACATTCATTTTAGAATCTGCAGGTACTCCAAAACTTTCCATTCCTAGGGACAGATTCCCACTCCTTCCAATACACATTGCTTTGGTAACAATGACATTTTTGGTTGTAATATTTTTCTGCTGTTGAGAGAGGAAAGAAAGGAGCAGCCACGTGACATATTTGTGCGGCACTATGCCAACTGCATCTCAGGAGACCTCAATCCACTTCTCAATTTACCTTATGCAATCCCTAAGGAAGACAACTCGGACGGCCTTCGCTCAGCCTTCCCGCTTACACATGCAAAACAAAACAAACATGCCAAGGATTCACAGAATCCCAGAATGTCAGGGATTGGAAGGGACCTCAAAGGATCATCTGGTCCAATCCCCCTGCGGGAGCAGGACCACCTAGATCAGATCCCACAAGAACGTGTCCAGGAGGGTTTGGAACATCTCCAGAGAAGGAGACTCCACAATCTCTCTGGGTTACAACTCTGTAGTCAAAATCTTGGCTTTTTGGAAGCCGAGATTTGTTTCCGTACCAAAACGTGTCCCTTACATGGAAACAGCCAGGAAATACAACACTGGATGCTCTAAGGGGGTTAAGCACCTCAGCTTTACTATAACCAATTAAAAGTGAATAGCCATAAAAGTGCAGATACTACTGTAGGGTAATAAACCAGAGTTTATCAGTGACAGTGGTGCACATTACAAACTTCAAACTCATTCCTTGCTCTAATCCATCAGAAACTTCCTGGCTTTAACAGGCTATAAACAGTAGAAGCTTTGAAGTCCAAGGATTAGGATCACTAATAGACAGACCGAACAAGAGACTGGCTGAAGAGCCAACTGGAATGCCCTGCATGGATCTGGAATAAAACAAATTAATTTAATCAAACTGACCTCTCTCTAGCCATAAGCCAAGAGATTACAATGGTTAGGAACAGCAATAAAGGGACAAGAGACACTAGAAACAAATAGTTATTTGCTTCCATGCAACTGCCTATGCTTTCAACTGTGCTCTCAAATCCACAATTTGAAGCTCTACAGGAAAAAGCTTTTTTTTTTTTTTTTTGGAAACTAGTTTGTGACTTAGTGGTAATCGAGGCAGAAAAAAAAAATTAAACGCACTTTAATTTTCAAGGCTTTCTAAACACAAGATTAATAGAATGATTTAACAAAAAAGATCATTGAAATGATTTATTTGCTTCGACCCTCCTGTATCTCAGACTTACTCAGGGGAAATGTGGAAACAATCCATTTGGGTTAAATCCACCTGCATTCAATGCTCATTTAACCAAACATTAATACTAAGTGTTTTTGCTTGCAGAAAAAACTAACTTCTTACTGCAAAAACTCCAGTTATCATCAAGTCACACGCAATACTTCTCACTCTAAAGGACTGCAAAACACTTAATAAACCATTAAACTCGAGGTGCTTGGCACAGCACTATTGCAGAACGCTTTTTAAAGCAAACAATAAAGCTACTCTGCTTTAAACTGGAGCAAGTTGCCAAAAGGGCAAATGAGCCAAGGGAATGGGAGCAGCAGCTTGGCTTTGAGAAGCTGTTAGAAGATGGTAAATTGAGACGAGTGGTCAGGGATTAATTTTTTTATTGTATCTTGCCACTATGCAGAGTAGCTGACTTCGAAGAGTGGAAAACTGCAGCAGTTGAAGCCTCTGAAAAGAGAATTACAAAGCAAGGAGTCCTAACAACACGCTTCATTTGCTAATGAAGACAGAAGAATCCACTACATTCCGTGCCACCGAGTATAGTGTGTTTTTGAACACATATTCCTAAAATGCAACATTTCCCCTCCCATAAAATCACTACATTTTCACAAGAGAATGAGAGATTGATATGTACAGCATACAGGAAACAATAGATATATTGTATATATAATGTTTCTATATCTATGCTACTACATCTATAGTATTTAATCAAGAATGAGAAGAGGAGGCTTTAATTGCCCTCAACGATGCTCAGGATTTTAGTACTAGTGTCCAGAACTTGGAAGAGGCTCATCCAAGGAAGCAATAAGCATGGAAATAAAATGAACAGCATTGGAGCAGCTGTCTGGCACTGCAGAGGATTACCATGGGCCAAGCCGAGCTGCCTTCCTTTACAGTGTCTCCCAGTTCTCCCATTTCCTCCACGGTGATTTCACAATGGAATTCACCAATGTCAGGACCTAGGCTTCCAGCTGAGGACCTGGGAGAAGAGTAAGAGCAGCACGGTCTCACGAGGCAGGCAGCCCAGGGCTGGGAAAAAAAGGGAGCTGGTGGGAGACAGAGCAGCCATGGCCCGTGCAGCTGTGTTACATGGAAGGAGACACAGAAATATGGGATTAGGATCTTGGGTTTGAAAACGTAGGCAGCAAGCTGGGAGGACTGGGCAGCCTGAGAGTGAGGGGATACAGTGTGGCAGCATGCCAGGCCAGCAGACACCCATGCCAGCCAAGCACACCTCAGCTACTGAAAATTAAACAAATTAATTCAGAGGTTTACAGCACTGAGTTCACACTGGACTCATTAATATACTTTTGAAACCAAATCATCTTTCAAAAATCTACACATTTAAACCACTTGAGAAAAGGTCTGTGAATGTGCCCTCGTTTTACAATAACAATGAATTTAAAAATTTAAAATATCTCACAGACTTCACCAGATTCATTCATAAGGACTATAAAAAGCAACATAGTATCATATGTGTTGGAAACAGAAACATTTAAATAAAGGCACATATGTCTGGTCTTACTGGGCTAGCTGGAGCATTTTCACAAGATATTCCAGTGGTGTGGGAATTTCTTTTCAGACACTCAAAATGTCCCAAGTTTTCATTTCACCAGTCAAAATATTGACTTATTTTATAGCTCCAAGCATTCAAACTGCTTTGAACCACATTTGCCCTAGAAAATAGTCTAGCAGAAGTAGTATTCTCTGTGATGAGAGAGTGTCTACAGAGAAATAAAACCAAGCAGTAACAAATCAAAGATGGGTCTCTTCTTACCACTCCCCCCAAAAAAGTTAAGGCCAGAAATGCTTCTGTAATTATTGCCTCTGTTACCTCTGATTCAGCCATTAGCAGCACTACCACTGGTAGGTTTTCTTCTTTGAATCTACTTTGGCTTTTCTCATTTCACTTTTAAAAACATTGCACAAAAAAAAAAATAAAATCAAAATTTGGTATTTTGAAAGTAACTATGAAATTCTTTTTGAAGACATATTAATGAGGTAGAAGAGAGGTCATTCTGGAACAGGTGCAAGCAGGTATGCTACCCCAGTTTCACCCTCTTCCACCACACCTACCATGGGGTCTTACCTTCTGGTGGATTCTTATTCTGGTTGTTCCAGACAACTAATAATTTGGACAGACTAGGCACTTTAGACACCTCCGTGATGACTCGGAAAAGGCTCTCCACCCGGTCATAGGTCAGAACTATAGCTGTGAAACCTTGGGACTGAGGTGGGATCAGTGGAAGGAAGAGAGGGTTGCTCACACTGCTCCATTTCTGCGAAGGAAAACAAGAAAACAGGAAAACAATTTGATTAACACGGATTATCACAGTAGGGAGTCATTATTACAGTAGGAGGAGGACCTAACCATCAGATTTGGAATTTGCTCAGATCAGGCAGGTTGACTCTCCAATTCTGGCAAAAGTGGACTTCAGCAATTTCTCAAAACCTTTATTCCAATGTCTGTCTTGATTCAGTTTTCATTTTTGCCTGGCTGTAACATTACAAACAAGACGGATTTTTGGTAAAAAATAAAGTGGAAGAGGCAGACAGATCTGTGGAGAAAGAAAACGACGGCGAATTTTGAACCCAGCTAGCATGACTCAATTCTCATTTATTATTCACTATTTCAAGACATTTACATTTCTAATCAGAACTCAATAAACAAAGAAAAACTTAATCAGCCCTATAATTTCAGAAACGAAAAAGAGTTAACAACAAAACCAAAGCAGCAAAAACATACACCTGGCATAAAATGTGTACCCAAGGCAAAAGGCAAAAGCAGGTACTCAGAGGAACAACGTACCAGCTTCCACAAAACTCTGTTCAATGGTGAAAAAAACCCACCTATGACATTTTAAAAAAAGAAGAACAACAGAAAAACCAACCAGCATGAGATGCAAAGATGAATTTCACACAGTTATCTACTCCTCAGGAATTTTAACTAGGGCATTCCTTTTAATATTTTAAAGGTCTTACTTGAATACCCTGCCAGCATAAGGAAGCCAGCCCAGCTGGCACGAGACAAGACAAACAACTAAATTCTCCCTGGATGTGCCAACCAACGTGGGGGAGGAAGCAGCAAAGGGACCATTCGACAGGAATGAAAGCGTCGGCATTTCAGTCTCAACTTTTCCATTCCAGCTGACGTTCCAAGCAGGGGTTGGACGGAGAAGCAAAGGGAAAAACAAGACCTTTTGGGATGAGGTGAAAAGGGGAGTTGGGAAAGCAGAAACCGAGTGATGCTGTTTTGCAGGGAAGTCTTGAATCCCAGCCTGTAAAAACTGTGAGCACTCAGAAGAGGTTAGTAACTGCCAGCAGTTTACAGAAATAGGGAGAGAATCTCTCACACCATAAGCCTGCTTGTATCAGGAGGAAAGCAAGTTTTACAGACTCAGAGTTATCAGCTCATATTTGCAGGAAATAAACTTGGTAATTTTCCGTTTCCTTATTTAATCTTTGGGTTTCTTTATACACCCAACAATCACCCTCCTCATGCCTCGTGGTTAGACACCTATAACTGGAATAACTTCAAGGACGAAGAGAACAGAGAGCCTGTTTACTAGAAGAGATCGTAACATTTTGACCGTTTTGACAAAGGAGGAAAAATAAAAAGATATGAATACGATTTCCTTCTGTCGTGGTTTAACCCAGCCAGCAACTAAATGCCACGCAGCTGCTCGCTCACCCTCCCACATTCCTTGGGGAACAGGGAAGAGAATGAAAGGGGAGAAGGGAAGGAGATCCATGGGTTGAGATAAAAACAATTAAAAATTAATACTATTATATTTAATAATAATAACAATAATAATAACAATAATAATAATAATAATAATTACATATCTCTCTCTCCAACCTCCCATGGCAGGGGGGTTGGAACTAGGTGATCTTTGAGGTCCCTTCCAACCCAAACCACTCCATGATTCTACGATATCTATGTATAATGATAATAATATATATGAACAAGTGATGCACACTGTAATTGCTCACCACCCAGTGACAAACGCCTGTCCCATCCCGGCAAGCGATCCCGAAACAGGTAAGTCCCAAAAAGAGATCGAGACAGAACTCCGAGAGATCGAGAAGAGACCAAGATAATCCCCCGAAAGAGAGAGAGAATGATATTCCAACTTCCCAGTCAACCCTCATCTATATACTGGGCATGACATTGCATCATATGGAATACTCCATGGGCTAGTTTGGTCTTCAATCCTCAGTTCAAATTCAAATCCTACAGGGAACTGTGGGCCCTTTGTCCCAGTCATGCTCCCCCCAGCCTGTCGTGCTCCTGCATACTAGCAAAACACGGGAAGCTGAAAAATCCTTGACATCTCAGCACCAGCTATAAACTTCAGTGCACTATCAACATTCTTCTCATAGCAAATCCCACACTAAATCCAAAACACAGAGCCCTTCCAGTTACTAAAAAGAAAAACTAACTCTGTCCTAGAAGAAACCAGGACACCTTCTACGAACACATCAACACTGAGGGGAGGATAAATATGTGAGGTGAAAAAGAGACACTTGAAGTTAAGCACAGCATTGGCACACTGTTTTATCCAGGACGGGCTAAGGGTATGTTCCAGGCAAGCATCTGTCAGCAGGAGTAATACCCTTTAGCAGACTTATCACAGAATCTTAGAACGGTTTGGGTTGGAAGGGACCTCACAGACCATCCAGTTCCAACCCCCCTGCCATGGGCAGCGACACCCTCCACTACACCAGGTTGCCCAAAGCCTCATCCAACCTGGCCTTGATCACTTCCAGGGATGGGGCAGCCACAGCTTCTCTGGGCAACCTGTGCCAGTGCCTCACCACCCTCATTGTAAAAAATTCCTTCCTTAGATCCAATCTAAATCTCCCCTCTCTCAGTTTAAATCCATTGCCCCGTGTCTTAGCACTACACGCCTTTGTAAAAAGTCCCTCTCCAGCTTTCCTGTAGCCCCTTCAGGTACTGGCAGGCTGCTATAAGATCACCCTGGAGCCTTCTCCTCTCTAGGCTGAACAGCCCCAACTCTCTCAGCCTGTCTTCACAGGAGAAAGGACCTCATAGGACTTCCTGAAATACTTGCAAACATGGACTAGTCTTCAGCTACACGTACTTTATCAAGTCTGGTACAAGTAGCATTCAACCAGCTGTTTGTGAGGTTCTGAATGGAAACCATGAAGTTCTGGTTTTTACCCAACAGGAGTAATAGGATAACTCAGAGACAGTAACAGCTAATATGGAACCTCGGTTCATAGAAGGAACTGGGATAGCAGAGAACTTACAATCAGTAATCCAGAAAATACGTATCCAGTATTTAGCAACCGGTTACGCGCAGAGACAAATCTGCTTTCAGATTATTAGGTTTTCTAAAATTAACGCTTTTACACGTACTTCTGCTAATTTTACAAGACGACTGGTGGCAGATGGGGACAGCCCTCTGATTTTGCTCCAGCTTCAGTAATTCCTACTGGTGGCAGAGAGAGACAGCCCTCTGATTTTGCTCCAGCTTCAGTAATTCCTACAGCAAATCCCAATCTAAACGTTAACCAGAGCATAATCCATCTCATTAAAGCTTTACAGACTCATTTCCACACAACCCCCACCCCAAGACCGCTATTACCCAAATGACCCTTGTAATGTTGAGCAGCTTCTTAAAACAACTTTCAAAAACCTCTTTTCATTAATACTCGAAGCAGAAGTTTAACATCCTACCCAGGAGAGTGCCAAGAAAACCTTAAGTTTCTGCCCTACAAGAAGAAATAACCGGTCGAGTAATCTATGGACAATGCTGTATTTACTACTTACGGGTGAGTATCACCACTTAAATTAATAATTCCCACTTGAAGTTTATCCAGCAATTTTCTTCTCTCTGGCCACAGCATTTCCTAACAAATTACTTGCTATAATATCCTTGGAAAATGATTATTCCTTTTCTGTCATCCGAGACTATTTTAGGTACTTACAGAAAAAAATACAGATGCACGTGTGTGAGCACATACATATGTGCCTAAAATATTATCACGCTTTCTCTTAAAAACCTGAAGTTTTAGGTACATTCCTTAAATTCTGACTTGCACTACTTTCAGAATGGCATGAAAATACTCCCCTGCTGGTTGTAACACAGGAAAAAATAAGGCAACTTTTGAGGTGTTTTTGCTCATGCATCTACTAAAAGACGATGGAGGGAGGGAAAAGCCTGTAGACACTCACTAATGGATGGGAGAACCAAGTCTCTCATTTGAGAAAAACATTTCAAAAAGGCAATTAAGCATCTCTCAAGTGCCATTAAGAGCCAACCCCCTGCTGCCTGCCTGAAGAGTGTGTCTACAGTCTGAGACCTATTGACCCCACTTTCTGCAGGAAATCGGGCAAATTCAAGCCTCCATAATTTGCTAAAGTCTTCCAGATTTCTGCTTGGGAAAAGCAAACCATACAGGCAATTAATTCGACAGCAGCCTAATTAAATCTCCATTATGGCAGCAAAGCATGAAATGGATAATGACACAGGGATGGGTTCTCCCAGTCATCGCTCAAGAAACCAAGTGGTGAAGGAACATTTGCTCCAGCCTCATCTTTATTAACGTTGTTGACAGAAATTCACAGGAACTTTCACTCTCAGAGAGAAGAGCAAACAGCAACAGTGGATTGATCATCCCTCACCTTTTTTTGACAGTGGGCTGACACTCAGCTCTGGGTAAGACAACCCTTCATTCTTGCCCTCCCAGCTGATATTATTAGAGGAGCCAGGATAATTAATCTAAGATTAAGAGGTTGTTTGCTATGAATCATTTTTATGGGCAGAAAGTATCAAGTTCAAATGCCAGTTTGCTAAGAGTAATCTCATGTCACTTAAGTCTCACAGTCTCAGTTGTCTGGCAGCTCTTTGCACTTCACATGAAAATCCAAAGTAGTGGGACCTGAATGGGGTCAGTAGTGGGACAGCGAGAACTTAGGAATAGCCTGAAGCTAGGGAGAGAGAGGAGAGTTCAGGAACAGGTATGTATACAGGGAAGGAAAAAAATAAGGCACCTTCCTTTACTATAGATACATCAAATGTTGCTCTTGGTCACTAAAAAAAACTCGATTCTATTTTAGGGAAAATCAATACATTAAGGACAAGGTATCAAGGGATGTGAATTCTCATTATGTGGAACACATAAGGCTGGACTCCATGTGGAGTCTTCAGGTTCAAGTTAGCAGAGAAATTTTAAACAGAGCGTTCTTAGCAGGATACAGAAGTGAGAGAGATGGGAGCTTCAGGACGTCAGGGAACACAACCAGACTGAG